AACTCTCTGTAATGGTACCTAATACTTTTAAATCTCTCTTGGACATTTGGCAAGAGAGGCTTTACAAGGATTTAATGTTAATTCAGCTTGTCGACTAAGCTTAACAATTTTCCATGAAGTCATGTAGGGTATGCTAAGCTACTTATTTATAGGCTATGTAATTTTAAATGCTTTTAACAGAAGGAATGTAATTGAGTAAATTCATCTTAAATCACGGGTAGCTCCAGGATTGGCCGACGGGGCCAGAAGTTCCTGACGAGGGGGCCGAATCTCCGACGAGAACGTAAGTGGGCGTGGTCGGGCGCCGCTGCTCAAAAATTCTCGGAAGTGATCCAGTGTATGTAAAAATATATATAATTTGTTTATCTCCCCGACGAAGTGTATTTTTCTCCCTGACGAGGGGAGGGGGTTGGTGACAACCCAGGACGACCACTGGCGCCACCCCCTGTCTCTTATACACATCTAGATGTGTATAAGAGACAGCCTTCAGATTGCCGGTAATGGAACTCTCAGACTTATATGAATTGGATGATCAAATAATAAATTGTAATAATTTACTGACTTTTAGAAATCGTATGAAAAAAATGTATCTTTTAAATTATTCTGACCAGTAACCATTTATTATGGTTTGTGCTATTATAGGCATTGATTTGTTCTAATGGTCTTTGCCTTTAATATTATTATGTTTTTACACGTGTGCATTATAGTGTTTTTCTAATTAATTAATTTATTTATTTACTTTACTTTTTATTTGTCTTTTAATTTATTTGTTTTATAGGTCAGGTTGAGACAAGTTGACGCTTCTAATCCTGATCCAAACCAATAATTTCAATAACTATTATTTTGTTCTAAACAAAATGGTTAAACTTTAATTTTCATATTTCTCATTCATATGCTTTACTATTTATATTGGCAAGTGTATGATTAATTATGTTATTATTGGTGAAATAAATGTTGAGGAAGAGAATTTGAATAACATTTTCTTCTTTTTTCCCAAATTTGACACTAGTATACAATTGTCAAAATGACCAATATTGAAATAGTAAGTAAAAGATAGGACAGAACAGTATTACTGCAAAATTGCAATTGTTTCGTTACAGCGCCCTTTCGGTGATAACTACCGTATGATCTTTTTATCGTCATAGGTTCAAGATGAGATTGATAATGCCGTTGGAGAGCGCCCTTTGAGAACATTAGACAAACTAAAAGTTCCGTATTTTGAAGCAACAATTTGCGAAGTTCAACGACTGGGAAACATTGTGCCTGTGCTCATACCTCATCGTACCAGCTCAGATTTCGTCGTAAATGGATATGACATTCCAGGAAATACAGAATTTAATGTCAACTTAGCATTCGTCCACACGGATCCGAAATACTGGAAAGATCCCTTTGAATTTAAACCGGAGAGATTTATGGATGCTGATGAGAAGACGTGTAAAAAAGGAGACGCGTTTATGCCATTTGGTTTAGGTAAGTTTGTAAAGGGCATCTCGCCTACCCCACATCGCATACGTCTGGCCTGAAAGAAAGAAAGAGACCTGGTACTTCTACATGTGAGCCCAGAGCTGGTTTCCACACATTTTATTCTTCTGTGTAGCAGGAATATAAAATCGTTATATGACGTGTGTAAGAGCAATAATTTTATAACTGCTCGTCTGGCTCACATGACGTCACGTTGCCGTCGATTTTATACCTTGAATAGAAAATTACTGTTGGAAAAGAAATTGGGAAGTAGACATGCGCTGTTACCAGGGGTGGCGCCAGGATTTGCTCGACGTGGGGGGGGGGCGAGTCCCGAGGGGTGCGGTTCCCCCGACGAGGTGCCAGATTTCCCCGACGAAAGCAAAGTGGGCGTGGTCAAGCTTCGATTAAAAGGTTCCGAAAGTGGTCCTGGAGGGAAGCCCCGAAAATTTCGACAATTTAGGGGTTTAAAAGGCTTATTTAATCGATTTTATAGTCTACTAATATGTAAAAAATACATATTATATTTTTTTCTCCCCGACGAATTGTGCTTTTTCTCCCCGACGCGGGGGGGGGGGGGCCCGCTGGCGCCACCCCTGGCTGTTACACTTACGAAAACACTCTTTATCGATTTTTTTTAACCTGCTTTCATTTGTATTTAGGTCGACGGGCCTGTCTGGGTGAGAGCTTAGCTAAAATGGAAATTTACATATTTATGGCAAGTCTTCTACAGCGTTTTACGTTTGAACTGCCAGAATCGAACCCTCGGCCCAGCTTTGAACCAATGACTGGCGTCACACAGAGTCCAAGGTACTTCGAAGTTGTAGCTATGCCCCGATGAACTGTAGGCCTATAGTTTAAAAACGTAGCTGGATTTCACAAGTTGTATTTCTTCCAGTTTCTGACGGGGTTTTCCATTTTTAAGTATATAGTTATAGTACCGTATTATGTCAGTTAAATTAAGGCAATAAAATAGTTTTTCACACCAGTTACTTTCAGGTCATTGTCTCGAACTTTCTTTAGCTGAATGAAATTGACATGACTGTGACCGATTATGTAATAGGGTGACGTATGCGCACTGCACTGTAATGTTGCAGATCGTCTTCCCAGCATGGAAAATGGTCATCAAATGACGACCATAAGTACTGTTGTCACTCTTCTTATCCAACTTTTCGTTTCTGGGCCAGTAAATATAAATGTTGTATAAAGTGATCCATACATAAAGTATGTTTCAAATTGTTTATTGTACTAACGTTTTCGACCACATGTTATCAGGTAATTAATAATATAATGAATATGCCCCATGCGGCACGCCCCGCTACTTAAATAAATAAATTACAACCTTAAGCTACATTTACACTGTACACGATAACGACACGACAATGATAAAAATGCGATCAGTGTGGAAGAATATAAAAGACACGATATGTGGTTGTCGTGTCGTTATCTAGTGTAAATCGAGCCTAAGTTATAGGCTATTTATTTTGAATACATCTACTCTATGATACTTAACTAATTATGACAGATTTTTCATAACTGATACTGATGCTCTGTATTAAATTGATTTAAAAAAATACAACCGAATAAATAAATTTATTAGGCTTAGTTAATGCGCAATGAAGAAATATGCTTCTTATTAATGCTATGAACACCAGTAATTACCTTATGAGTAGGATTAAATCCAGGTTTCCATAAAATCGTTACATTATCGCTATAGTTCCCGACGCAGTCGGGAGGGCTCCTCGATACGACCACGACTAACCAAGAAGTTATAAATAAATACCTTATTTTATACCACCTTGGACCAACCAATCAACATCACCAAAAGCCGTCGGCGATAGCGTGTAGCGATTTTATGGAAACCAGCATAACTGGTGTGTGATAGCTCCTTTCTATGCCTTAAATAATACCCATATTATGAAATTGTTCCTTGTAATGTTGTTTATTCATTTACTAGCATTTTTCCTACTGGCATTATTCCTGTTCTACATTAATATGAACATAGGAAGTTCGTTTTTTATGCATTCGGATGCTGTCCAAAAAAGTGTGTGTAGGATGTAGGCCTAATACCTACTACTATGTCGATGGAACTACAACCTTCAAGTTTTATTTGTATCTCACTTTTGAAACAGTAACACTCAACATTTTTTTTTTTTGGTGCATTCAGTAAAAAATACAAACATATAAAAGTACAATATAAAAAGTTACCTATGGACTACTTAGAACAAAATTACATAAAGTCCCCTACCCTGCACCCCACCCCGGTCAAGAATTATTGTAAGTTACAGTATATTGAAATTAAAGGTACACATCAATATATCAAGCATAGATTTACCATGGTAGTTATACAAATTTTAAAATATGAACAGAAATAAACTAACAGTCTTAAAAATTTACGCAGTTTAGTGGCGAATGAGGATTATTTTAACATCTGGCACCACAAGACGTCTGCTTCTCAAACCCAGGAAATGGTGTACAATAAGTTGACAGCTCTGTTTAATAAAACAGATCAAAATTTGTCAGCGATTTTGTTTCATTTCTCCTTATTATCAGTACAGTATACCTTTATTTTACATCACCATTATTTATGAATTTAATGAAAATGCATCTTCCATGTTCCACTTCCCGCATTACCGGACACAGAATATATTGTAGTATCGGACTTACTTCCTGTGTTGGCAAGTGACATATGAAAATGTTATAGCAGTCTGGCGCTGGCGTATTTATAGGCGGCCGTTATAGAAGAGTGTTGACGATGTGTATTGGTGTAAGCAACAGAGCCAACGTAGCATTAACCATACGGGTTTAGTTCGACCTTCAGTTACTACTAAAGTATATGAATTTTGATACACAAGCCTTCGACATATTATAAAGAAGCCGTAAATTTGAATTCTGGTTGCACAGAAAAATAGTCATCACCGGTAGTGGCTCCAGAAATTTGCCGGCAGGGGGTCCAAAACAAGGGGCAGGCTCGAGCCTCGATCGCGGGTCCTGGAATAAAAATCCCTGGCAGGGTTCATAGTGAGGGTTTTTTTTTTTTTTGACTTAATGGCCCAAATGGTGCTTTAGCCACACAGGGATTGGCAATCAAAATATATCATTTGGATAGGTAAACTAAGATTTTTTTTTTCTTTGTCCGAAGACAATGTGTCATGGCGTCGGACGACTGCGGATCCAGGCCTGGGCAACAGGGATGGGGGGTAAGGTTTCCCCGAATCCCCTGGCGACACCACTGTCCATCACCATGCTATAAATCTATAGCATTTAGGAATTCGATCGTAACAAAAACGTATACAGTATAGAGGTCCACCATTTGACTTCAAATGCGGAGCAGAATGCTGGATTTTCTTTATAATAGGCCTAGGTCTATTATAAGGCCTAAAAAATAAATTGTTTTGCCCTTCTTTTCAATGATAAAAGGGGAATTAGGATAAGAATCACTCAGTTGGTCAAAATTACCTTTGCGTACGGTTTGATCATGGTTTGATAAACCCCTTATCGCGTCGAACCGAATTCAATGACTGTCGTTGAAGTAGGCCTATGTGAAATGTACCAAATAGGTAAAATAGGGGTTTTTAATTTGTGTGGAAGTAGAAAAAGTAGTAATTACAGGCTCATAGTGCTGCATAATAAACAAAAAGTTAATATTAATATTATATTTCAGTATTTTTTTTTAACAGTGCACAAATATACCTATTACAGATGCTTCTGCTACACACTTGCATGACCCATTGAAAACGGTATGTCTGATTATATCAGACCTAAAACCGGAGCTCCGCCGAGGAGAATTTGTGGGCCTAGCAAAGTATCACAATTTTTATATACTGTCATAATTACTTTTTTTTTAATGTAAATACATTAAAAAATATTGGTATACGTTCACCTACACATGCACAAACTAAATTGGCCTAAGTAATTTCAAATTTAAGTACATTATAGCTAAACGCGTCAAGATCCTAAGAACATTAATCTATGTCTAAAACAAGTTTGCTTTTTAACGTGTCACCAAAAGCGGGACGAAATTGCAAGGAGCTCTGTAGAAATCCACTACGCTCTTACAGTGGAACAAGCTTACCGTATATATTACCAAGCTATGATATCAATAAAGACATATAATAGTCGACAGTACAGTACATGTTTATTCTTCAAATGCATTCTGTTGTATATCTGAAATCTGAAACAATCTACCTTGTTATTTACTAAGACCTATGAAATTTACCGTAACTGACGAAATATAGGGGTTTTTTTAGTAAAGAAATACTGCATGATGTTCACTGGCTCTGTAGGATGTATTTTCTAGGGGATGGGGTGCTTGAGCTCGTAGGCCTGTGCAGGGGGAGACTCTGGAAGGGGTTGTCCTCTCCTAAATGTGATTTTTGTTGTTGATCGGGACCTCTGGCTGGATGGCTAGAAATGGCACTCTCAGACTGTGACAGTGTTGGCTTGGCGTAGGCCATTATTTTTTATTTATTTTTTTTTGGTCTGACTACCTGACGAGCTCTGGCCGATTGAGGTAGGGGGAGTGGGGACTTGACCTGTCTGATGGGTGGGGACTTGACCTGTCTGATGGGTGAAAGGGGGGGGGGCGCCACTTGTGATGCTCCATAAACCTTTGTCACTGATTTTTTTTATTTCACATTTCATATACTGTACGTATTTCTGTATTTATTCGATTCCGCAACGATTATTTTTTATTTAAAATAGGCCTATATATAGGCTAACGTTATGAATTTTTTTTAAAATTATGTTTTAAGTAACAATAATTTCATATCTATTCTCTAATCATCCAAACTTCATAGAAATTTCAAAATCAACGTTATATTCGTTAAACATAGATGCCAAAAACCAAGTGGTCCACTGATTAGGCCTATGTTTAGATAATCAGATCATGCAGATTCCAAAAAGAAGAGAAGCCACATAGTGATTCAATATTGCGTTCTCAACATCATCACCTGGTGCAGATGTTTGAATAAAGAAATATTTAATCCGCTTCTCTTAGTCCTTGGAGATTATTTTGTACAATATCCGTAATAAACACTATTATAATAATAACCACTGTACTTATAACTAATTATCATATTAACCGTTTGAATAAATACTTGGATTACCTCTCACACTATAAATATATCCAAGATTATAAGATGTTTGTGGTTCCCATGCCTTCCCATAAACATGTACCATACACTGTTTATTTCGAATTATCTGTTTGTTATTTACATTGTCTTAACGTTATTTGGTATTTAGATGGGCGTGTCATACCAAAACCAGTATCAGTATAACCAAGACTAGAATATTGACTTTTTAATAATATATTCCCTCCACATTATAAGCTTCAAAATTACCTGGAATTGATTTATTATTGCTAAAGTTATGAGTAAAAATCATAACGGCTTTTCAAATACAATACTACCACATTCTTTCTCTTGCGACAAACTTGATTTATAATCATACACTAATTTGAGTAAGGACCAAAAGTTTGTGACGATTTACCGTCCAGACGCGCGCACAGATCTTGAATAAATATATCGTAGCACCATTCTTTTTAATATGTATCGTACCATTATTGGCATTTTTGAGTTCCTATGTCCATTTAAATATCGTAAAAAAAAGTTTTACAATTACACGAATCTACAAAATATTGGACGAGGACTTCATCCTACAAAAGCAACACATGTACTGTACTAAACATTAATTATTCAAATCAAGTTAAAAAAAAATATAGTGGAGGACAAGCAGAGTAATAAAATATTCAGTATATTAGGTAGGCCAGGTGTGAACGTCGCTTTAGTGAGTGCATGCGGGTTGCGCACTGATACAAACGCGTATTGTTCACTAAATATAGCAGAATAAAATATACTATAAAGTACCATATTATTCACTAAAATAATTCAATGAGTGACGAATAATGAATGTCTACATCCATCACAATCTCTTAGCATATTTAATCCAGCTTACTATATTCTTTACCAGTATTTTACCTGCTTTTGTTGTTAACATTATAAACACACTTACTGGCTAACAGTTTTTCATAATTTAAATGGTTATTTGTCTTTCGTTTATAAAGGGTTTTCATAGTCAAAGACGTAGAAGTAATAAACATTATTTTTTAGAATATTATACTGTATATTTCTAATCTTATATATATGACAATACTTGCAGTATTTGACCGACTGGGCTTCATAGAATGATTATTTAACTCCTAGGGCGGACTCCAGAGGATCGCCGACGTCCGGACCTATCCCCACCCCTAACATGTGTGAATTCTATTTTAGTGGGAAATAATTATGCAAATGTTGGTAGTCAGCTGCTTTTTGTTCTTTTGTGGGTTGGAGCTGGACCCTTATGAGAGAATTCAGGCTAATCTAATATTTTTTTTTGGCTTTCAAGTTTCTAAAATGATTTTTTTTTTTCATATAGGATTCCAATCCATACCTTAACATGTACCCTTTTCAAGCCATTACTCTATATTCACGCTACATACACCTATTAGTAAGTCTTATTAATATTAATATTTGATTATAAACATTTGCATCATGAAACAATATAAAAACATTGTTTTTTTAATTACATTTCTGCTGATTTCATATTATAAATGAATTGTATTTGCATTGCAAATTATTGCTATAAGAAAGTAGTTCAAATTTTACTGTAACTATATGTCAATAAAAATAAAATTATAAAGAATGTATGTTATCGTTATACAAAAACATGCCAAAAACCCATATTAACGGGAAAATTGCAAGTGTTTGGTTAGCTTCCCCTGAAGAATTCCCCTCTGAATAGGGGTACTCCTATTTAGAGGACCCCTATAAGGGGGAACTTTTTTGGTCCTGGTGTGTCCCCATAATAGGTATTCTACTGTATTAAAAAAAAAAAAAAAAAAAAAAAAAAAAACCCAATGAATAATATCCATTCAAAAGTTTAAAAAAATAAATACCATTAAAAAACAATATTATTAGTTGTTGCAACTTTGCACAGATTTATACTACTAACTTTCTTTTACATAAAAGATCGAATATTTATTAAATATTGAATTATATTTTTAAATATGATTTAAAACATGCCATTTTGCTGCTGACGTTAATCCCTATCTAAATTATTATTTCAGTATGGTTCGTAGTATGTTAAGTTTTATTTCGTTATTTCGAAGTGCTTGACTCAGACATGTGTATGCCTAATTAGCTGGACTAAGACGTGTTGATCATGAACTAGAAAAAGTTATAGATATTTATATAATTGATAATTATATATATAATTTAATTTATATAGGCATATATATAAATTTAACTAAAATTAGCCATTAATCAAACGCTACAATTTGTTTTAACACCTTTGTTTATTCACGAGAGGCGTTTTCACACCTTTTTAAATGTGTAATTTCTACCCAGTATATTGTTTATCTCTTGTCACCCCGCCCTGTCAGTCCAGGCCTTTTTCATGAACAATTAAGTTTATAAAGATTGATAAAGATTAACAAATATTATTAGCGTAAACTTATTCAGAAGTTCAGAATTTGATTGGTTGGTTAAGACCAACAAACTGTTTTGATTGGTCGTGCATAATAGCAAGTTCACTTGTCACGTCATTAAGAAGCACGCGTTATCCGATTAACTTTACATCAGTTCGAAACATTGCAGCGTTAACTCACCATCATCGTTCATCCAAATAGAACTTCAGTTGCCAGAAATTTAGATATATTGTTTACTATAATACCTTCAGTTTGAACACATCATGTATAAATTAGTGAACGTAAGTATTCTTTTGCATAATTATTTTTAAAATCTAATTTTTTCTTTTATTATTTTGTTTAATGTAATTGTATTTTAATTTATATGTATATATATTTTAAACGATAAAACAATAAATAAGTATTTAGGAAATAATGTTTTTCCCTAGCTGACGTGCCGTTACTGAATGCTCAGTACATTCCCAAATATTCGTGAACAAAATCTCGCAATTGATTCGTGTGGAAATAGAACCCACGACCTCCAGAACGCAATACAGTCTATAGCCTTTATTAGGCGTGTGGAACGGGCTATTATTAAGGAATCAATAGGCCCAATTAATAGCCCTGTATATTTTTTATTTTAAATAATAGAAATAGAATAATAGAAAAGTATAATGCAAATAATGTATATTTCTTTCATGTAAGGAATAAAACATAAAATTAAAATTTAGATTCTAGTAGTTAACACGTAGGCTTATATTTTTCCCCCAAAATTACACTTCATTCGGAAATACAACTAAAAAAATGTTTTTAAGTTTGATATGTTGTAGAACTAATTTCTCTAAGACACAAATGCATTTGACGAAAAAGTAGGAAGTTAGTTAATAAGATACAATTTTTTGAATATTTAAAAACTGGGTGAAATTCGGAAAACCTTTCTCCCAGGTTTTTGAAGAATTCGAGTCAACTCGGTCCCAAGTCAACTCGGATCCAAGTTAACTCGGCCCTAAGTCAACTTTTGGCCCTATGTCAACTCGGTCCCAAGTCAACTCGGCCCCAATTTTTATGTGTATTTACTGAAAATTTACCAAAAGAGATTTGAATGCAAAACCCAAATTATAGTGTTCTATATCGTTGCTTTTGTTATTTCTTTTTATTTACATCCACTTACGATAATTAAAACTGCATTAATAAAAATAATATTAATAACAATAGAAAAAGGTATCGGTACTAATAATGATAATAACGATGATGATAAAAATAACGACATAATCATGACAATGCTTAGTGAGTTATAGACATATTAAATATACTTTATATATATATATATAGGCATATATATACTGTATATACCGTATATATATATAAAGAAGTTAATATTTTAATATTATAGGCCTATATATATATACTGTATATATATATATAAATCATTATATAATAGGTAAGATCTAAATTATCTTATATATAAACACAATAGAAAACGAATACTATATAACAATATGGGCTTTAGAAGAACTTTATTGGAGAAGAATTTCAGTATATTTAAATATGCATAGTATATATGCATATACTGTATATAATAATTTATATTTGATACACCTATAAATCAGTATGTTTATATCGTTATTATCAATAGTTTTTATTATGCCTTTTTTATCATTATTATTTTAATATTATTGCTATTAATGCTATTTGTATTATTGTTAATAAAAAAAAAAGAATAACAAAGGCAAGATTTAAAACACTTTACTTTTGGCATAGTTTGGCTTTGCATTCATATTCTTTTGGTAATTATTTCGTAAATAGACAATAAATTTGGGCCGAGTTAACTTGGGACCGAGTTGACTACTTGGGGCAGAGTTGACTACTTGGGGGCTGTCTCTTATACACATCTAGATGTGTATAAGAGACAGGAATAAAACATAAAATTAAATTATTGGAGAAAACCAATATTTCGACCTATCCTCAGGTCTTTATCAAGGTACATGAAAAAACTAGCAAAAAGTGGACACACATAACCACTGTAGTGGGAGGAGTTAAAGAATAAACAATGCGGATTATAATGAGAGTAATTAAAATCGGGTAGGCCTATACATTGATTGTAATAAACAGTTAGCAATGAGAACGGAGATTAATAGTCGTTCCCACATTATGCCGACAGTAGAATAAACAGGCTAGAGTATATTGACCAAAATTCAAAATAAAAATAGAGAAATATAGCATAAAAACTGTTTATTACAATCAATGTATAGGCATGTACTTTGCACATGTAGTCTCGAAAAGAAGCCCATTTAAAAAAAAAGCCCAGCAAAAGTTTGCAAAAAAAAAAAAAAAAAAAAAAAAAAGTTTGAAAAAAAAAAAAAAAAAAAAGAAAGAAGAAGAAGCCCAGGGCGTCAATTCGACGTTTTGCGGTATCACCATATTATTAATGATCACTGGTATAAAATATCGGCAAAATCAGCACAAATAAAATACTCATGTTCCTCCAAGTAGTAATTACTTATTGGAGTTTACGCGGTCATTAGTTAAATACCCAAGTCCTAATCAAAGCTAAATTGGCTAAATATATCCAATCAAAAATATAATAGGCTTACTTATCTTAGATTGTATGAAGGTCGCGGGCAATGTTTTATATTTTGGCAATTTTGTTTGGATATATAACGTTTTGAATAAAACTAAAGAGAATTGAAAATGCTTGTGGCGATCAAAGAAGATCTTAATAAATATTTTATTAATGTTATATTATTCCCTTGAGCAATACAAACATTTATAACAACATGAATGTGGGGAGCTGTGGCCGCAATTTGGTGCGAAACGTAAGCGCCAAAGTGCATGACTCTGACTTGCATACACTAAATTCAAGCATAAGATTACACCTTACTGGCACACCCACGTGCCAAGTTATCTGATATTATGTTCAAAACATAAAAAAACAATAAATGTGTTAATTTTGTTTTTTATATTTCAGGAAGAGAGGTATAAAGCGACTTCGGATGAGGACATTTTGGCGCTTCGAAAGATGACGGTCCGTCAGTTGAAACAGAAGTGTCGAGATGCTAGCTTGAAGGTTTCTGGTACGAAACGTGACATAATAATGCGTCTATGTGGCCTGGAAGTACGTCAGAGAAAGACAAAAATGTCAGTGAAGGAAGTTAACGTTTGGCTAGAGAAACAGGGTGTCGTCAACATCAGAGGCGTCAGCAAATGTCTTCGAGCAGGAATGAGGATGGGTTTTATTGATATCAGTGGGGATAATCCTCTGGACAATGTCGTTGTTTCTGGTGCATGCTACTATTGTGGTGACGATCTAAAAGCGACCATTCGTGACCTCCTCTACCAACCAGATTATGCAGGACACGACTACGAATGTACTGGCTATGATGCGACTGTGAAGTGTCTAAACGAGGAGTGCGAAGTAGCAGGCGTGTACGTTACAGGAATGTGCCGGAATTCAGCGGAAATTGACTCTGGCAAATCGCACAACCACTGTACCATTTGTCCGAACTTTGGCACGTGCATGGGGGACTACCGCGAGGATCACTGTCGGTCATGTAGTGAGCATTTTTATTCATGCAGAGGGTTATTCCGGTGCGAATGCAAAGGTCCCAATCCTGAAGTACCTGTTGATGAGTACACATTTTGTTGCTGATGTCTTAATTGTTTTTTTTCCTAAAAATTTCTTTTAAATTTATTAGAAGTGATTCATTTTAAAAGATGTTATTGCATGGTCCATCTTGTTTATATTATCATTTTGTTATGAATTATTTTTAAGAGATATATATGTTAACTTAAGAGTCCGAGGTACTCAGTTAGGTTAATACAATGTGTAGTTGTTTTTTTTTACGGAGCCTTTTGTACAGTTGTGGAATGTTGTCTTGCGTAAATCAATTCATTAAGAGTCCGAGGTACTCAAGATATAGTATCAGTTACTTTAATACAATGTGTAGTTGTCTTTTACGGAGCCTTTTGTAAGTTGTGAAATGTTGGCTTGTGTAAATAAATTCAAAAACGATAATAAGCTCGTGCTATAACCGAATCTGCTCTATGAGCCACATTATGTGTACACAATGTTAATAAATGGACATAGCAGATGTTTTTATTTTCGTTGTTGTTGTCGATTTTTTTCTCAATAATTTTTAAATTCATTATATACGTAATTGAATACACTACCGTAACACACGATTGCAACATCGCCATATACAATTCTAATTAGCTGAATAAAATACTTATAAAGATACCTAAACACAATTACTTTATAACTTATAACTTTACCCACCAAATGAGGGCGTATATACGTCATCACTTATATTCACAATCAATCATAGACGGCATGAACAGTACTTGGGAATCTTAGCAAAGTTGTAAAGATCTGGATCTCTGGGTTGTCAAATATAAAGATTAATTTTTTATTTTAATTCTGAGATAAATTTTCCTTGAAACCAAATGAGGTTTAAAACACAATATAGGGAAGCACTTGCTGTGTTCAATAACTTCTGCTATTGGGAGTACCATAACAATAAAACATTAATCTATATATATTTATACATATATATATATATACATATATATATATATATATATATATAGTATATATACATATATATATATGTATATAGAATATAATATAACGTAACAGTAAAGGAACTCAAATACGTAAGATGTTGACTTTAGAAACACTGAAATTTATTAGGCGAATATTTCGGCTACTCCTGTAGTCTTTGTCAACGCTTGACATAAAATGAACATATTGAGAAACTATCTTAGCAATATACAATTTGAGAAACAATACGGTAATTAAGTCAAAGCAAGTCGGCATACGTCTATAAAGGATTAATGATAATGAACAAATAAATAGTGATAAGGGTGAACAATGAATGAGCAAGTGGTGGACTGTGGGAAAGCATTACTATAGTTAATGTTTCATTTTTTCAAGATGCACTATATCTATATATATTATATGCCTTATACAATACTACATAGGCCTATATCATTTTGGCTTCTTGCTCCCATCATTACAACTATGTTTTATTTGCCTTTCAATACTTTTATATACCCACATTTATTTAATTTACAATATTGCTTTGTATAATTATATATATATATATATATATATAATTTTTTTATTTTTTATTTATTTATTTTTTTTCATAGCCGCTTCCTGTTCTTGATTTTAGTTATGCCTTATGTTTAGCTTATCCATTAACCATGGATGAATTAATTCCCCCATGCATTAACTATAGTATGCTTTCCCACAGTCCACCAC